TAACAGTATTTAGTGGCATATAAAATATGACTCCTATTTACATTTAATATCACATTATGATAATTATAGGTTAACTTAGAGCTTTGCAAACTGGTGTGTCAAGACACTATAGTGTAATCAATTACCCATTCTTTCTTTATTAATATTTCCACTGCTGCATTGTTATAGCATTGTTTCCTGGCTGTGCTAGCTCATTTTGGGAAAAATAGGAAATTGCCATTTACTGGAAATAAATGAGTATAAAGATGCTGAAGGCATTCTCTTGTGGATGCTGCAATTTTGGTTTTGATTGGATGCTCTGTGGTACAGACTAAGTTAAACGACACCCCAACATACACCATAGTAAAAATAAGTCAGAAAACAGGTCATATTGTACACTACTATATGTCTACACTAGTCTCAAAATAGCACTAAGCTCCAGTTAGATTATAACACAAATACTAAGGAATGACACTTCGCAATGTCTTGAAAAATAAGTTTTATAAAGATGTATATCTTGAAAGTGCATATATAGACCGCCAGCAGTTAATGTAAGTTTTGTAAAAACATATATGTATATTCACAAGAACAGAAATAAACTTGGCTTATTTATATTTGGACTAATGAATGGATTCACTTTTGTTGCGGTTATATGAATGTTTTGGCTGCTTTGATATCTGATCTTCTTCAGGTGTCTATTAATCCAGGTAAAAAGAGCCTAATGAATTAAAATGTTAGTTCATGAATATGGTGATTGTGAGTTCAACTCTTAGATTCAGTGGAAAATAAGAAGATGAGATAGTGGTTGACATGGACAGCAGAACAAGAACAATCTACCCTAATATGACATTCAGTTTGAAATTTCCTGAAGGTTACCTGGATTTACAGGCCCTTGAAGTAAGTTGAAGAGCACAATGGTCAAAATGTTGTGATAATAACAAATAGCAAATGAAGATATTAGTCCAAATGTAAATAATGATAACTTTTAGGCAAAATTTAAGTTTATTAAATATCTATTTAAGTAATGGTTAACAAACTAAACTGTTGTTTGCATAATGATTTTAATGCTCACCAGTTTTCTCTCCTAGTGGCATTGTGCCAGACTAAGAAATACCTCCTGCCTACAATAAGTAAGAAACTGGATGTTTTCCATCGAAGAAGCTTGAGGAAGATTGTAAAAGATTAATTGGCAAGACGGTATTGCCAATGAAGTAGTTTGCAGAAGGGCACCAGCATGTCCTCTTTCTGAATTAAATTGTTGTAGATAGATAAATGAGGCTAGCTGGATACAGTTTGCATCTTTCTGATCCCCAGTACTCAAAAACAGCCATGAGATAGGTACCACTTGATGAAAAACTAGCATGCCAAGAACCTTTCAAGATGATCTGAAGGCAAGGTATCTTGAACGGCATGACATAGAAAGGACAGTAGTTGATGAAAGACACGTAAGAGAGCTTATTGCCCAATGTGTTCAGTAGCAAAAGAGGATCTAAATAAATACAAAACGTTTGTTTGTAAGGGCTAGCAAATACATTGATTTCAATATTTGTATAATTCATATTATTTATGTTACCTGACCCAAGTGAGTTTGAGCCTTCGTATAATCTACAGCAACTAATGTATCTTGCAAATGTTGTTACAGTACCTTTGCTGATTTTCTGATTTTAGGAAATAATTCACATGAAGAAAACTCATGCTTTGTTTGGGTAGGAAAAATTTACAACTTCAGCTTTTGAGTAGGTAAAAAATAAGGTAAGTAATAATTTCAATAAATTAATATTTTACTTAACAATAAAATAAATGTCATTTAATTTATATTAATAAGTAATACTTTAAGAAACTAAATGTTAGTAACTTCTAGGTTTTCTTTAAATATTACTTACTCTATTACTATAAATAAAATGTCATTAATATGATTTTATTTTATTTAATTAAGATATATTTTAAAAAATGAAAGTATTACATATTTTATTAAAACTTTATTACCTTTTTTTAAATGAGACTGAAGTTTTCTGTATAGTTTTTTTCTTACAAACTGAAGCTATGATTTTCCTATCCTAACAAAGCAATTCTTATGACTGTTTTATTGTTACTGATTTAATTGTCTCTTTGGTTCTTTGATGGTTCTGCTGGAGTAACCAAGGTCACTGAAGTACATACCAATTCAAAAATACATATGTCTCCTCATTCCAATATCAATGGAATCCGCTCATGTAAATCTTCACTAGGGAAAAATGCTTAAATGGAAAGAAAGAAGGAAATTATTGCAATTTGATATTATTAACTCATATCTATTGATAGATAGAATGTTGAATGTTTTGAATAAAATAAATCTCATTTCACATTCAAGTGTTTAAGAAAATTTCCTAAATCCTATTTCAGTTAGTAACTCATAAAAATGTGTAAAATAATAAGTGAGATGCCGAGACTACAGGGTCATTCAATATAACCCATAATAATAACTTCATAGATGAAGTTACAGTCTGAGTATCTGATGTCATATTTTATTAAACTCATTTTGTGGTAATTTTTACCTTATTCTTCAACAACTACAGTGGGATGTGCTTTGTTTTCTCTACAGTTTCCTCTGTATAATATTCGTCTAATTTATTTCACCAACAGAAGCTCTTACAAGTGTTTGACTGCACCTTGACATTCACCCCAAGGGCAGCTACTATGTCAAAATGACTCCGGCGTTTCTTTCGTCTTTGTAGATACTCTATGGGTTAAGTTATCATCTCACTTAGTTTTAATTTTTTTTTTTTACCTTTAAAAACACATACGTAGGAGATACTGTAGTTTAATATTGAATCCAGCCAGATATAATTAAAAATTAAACATTTTATTTAAAGCAGCTATAGATAATAGGTAGAAGTGGTTAGTAAAAGACAGAGAAGTCTTTGGTTGATTCCATTCCAAATGCAGGACGCTGATTGCTAAGCAGTAAAAAAAAAAAAAAAGCAAGTGATCAGTGCAGTCTATTCACAAAATTTGCGCTCAGATTTTATAAGTATATTATACAGGACTGTAAGAATTATTTTGAAGTTAAAACTATACAGTGATTTTTTTTTTTTTTTTAATATAAAATATTTTTCGAGAAAGCAGGTTACAATTTATTTTAAACAGGTTCAGTAATCGTCACTGAAAGAATTTATGGTGGCTATTGCTGCTGCTGCTACTACAATTATGTTTACCCGCGATTCTTAAAAAGTAGATAAATATACGATAAAAAAAAATTGTCTTCAATGTATCACATGGTGACAAAGAAGGAGGAGAAATGGGCTGGTCTTCATTAGTGGCGTATCCTTATCACATGCAGTTAAATTCTTATTCAACGGAACTAAGCTTAATTTCATATACGACACGACCTCTGTAATGATTTATTAATAATTACTTCTAAAAAAAAAAACAGAACAAAATATTCAATATAAATGAAGCAAATATTAATAAAATTCTTCTTGCAGAATTCTGTTTACGCGTTAGGTCCCTGTATAGCTGAAATCCGCCATGATTGTAAAAATGAGTTAACTGAATATTTTATTAAAAAAAAAAAACTGGAGGGGGCGTTAAGCGACGGTTCATTTTGTCCATCTTTAACCAGTCTCCCATCACAGAAATTTTAATATATTTTTCACCTCTCCTACCAAAAAATAGAAAATATTTTATTCTCGAGCTACACTCAAGAAAAAGAGTTAAATCCCCTTTAAACGCGTCCATCGTCATCTTGCTGCCACGTAGCGGCAAAGATTTGAAACGCCTCCTCCTACTCTTCTTTTTCTCTTTCTTCTACCTACCTCCCGCCATTTTCAACTCTGAGGGAGAGAGAGAAGGAAGCGAGTTTGGCAATGCAATTATTACCGAATAAAAAAAAAATGAAGTAGAAATAAAATTCTTGTAAAAAATATTACCTCAAATTAAATTGTTTGTATTTCTTATTTGTGAATTTTTTAATAAGAGAATATTTTTCTCACCAACGGTTGTGAATGTTGCTGTCAAATTAACTATTCATGTTTTTTCACCAATCACAGCCTCGGTTCTTTCATTCAAATGTACCAATGGGAGCGCTCAATATGTTACCTATATAAAAGGACTATTAAGGCGGAAGTGCTCTTTCTCAATAGATCACAAAGGAGCTATCATGCCTGAGGTAAGGTCTTCAATCCAAATTTATCGTCATATTTTGTTTTTTTTTTTTTACAGCTTTCAAAATGTATATTGTATTTAAATCTTTTTTTTAAGTCTTGTCACAGTTTTGTTTGCAATTAATCGGTTGGATTGCCGATCTCGGTTCTCGACTGATAATCTCGTGTTTTCCAGTATGTATGATAATCATGTTGGAGAGAAAAATGAATGGATGAAGGGAGGGAGGACTTCGTAGGACGGCTGGATTTTTTTTTTTTCATCAGGCACGTTGTAGCTGTTTTGCTTGATTTAATCACCGTTTAATTTCACTCTTGTAAATAAATTTTATTTTATTGTTTTTGATCTTTATACGAGTCGAATGTTACCTGCTGGTTGATCGATCACCTTTTGCATTTTTACGATTGACCTTGTTTCGGAACTGCCCTAGGATTTTTGTTCATCTCCTGTTGGCCATGATGATAAAATCGGCGAATAAAATAGTTCATAAATTTTTAGCAGCAATACGCCGGTTAGATTTTCAAGAAAGAAATGAGTCAATTTTGATGTTTTAAGCTTAATATTTGTGAGTCGGATGTATTTCTCTTTGTGTGGTTGGTGGCGGTTTTAAGTGGTTTTTCGTCATTACGTGCTGAAGAAAGACTAGAGTGCCTTCTTGTCAAGCAGCAGCAGCCGCGAGTCAAGGCAATAAATTGTTAAACTTATTGTTTTAAATTTCTTATTAGCAAAATTAAATCTTCTTCTTATTATTATATAGCAGCTGTACTTAGTCACTGACTCATTTTTTCCATTACGAGATTAAAGCCGGCTTTAATAGTATTTTTCCTCCATTTCTTCCTCAGCACTTTTAATTCACTACCAAAAAAGCCGCTTAGTAGAATGATGGTTTGAAGATGAAGATATTTTGTCCGTTTTTAAACAGTTGCCAAAATTTTCATTTTGACCTGAAAATATCATTACGAAAAGGATTGTAAATGTTAAATCCTGTAGCAGCAAATGTTCTCTGTTGAGAGAAAAAAAAAAACGTTTTTTGAATTTGAGGTCTTAAAAATCATTCGTCGTAACAAAAAGAAATTGCTTCATAGTTTATTCAGTGTATTTTACATTTTTGACAAAACACTCTTATTTTTAATTTATGTAGATGATTTTAAAAATAAAATGCACGATTTTATTAAATATTAATACTGATCTTTTCCGTTGAAAACCGATAAAAGTTATCCCAGTATTAATACCTATTTTACGTTGCTGCATAAGGAAGAAAGTGGGGAACGTGGGTGGTATTTTATTGCTTTTAAAATGGTAAAAATCTCTTGCTGCATATCTTTTTCACATTTTAATAGTTTTTTTTTTTTTTAACTTCCGGGATAAGCTGAGGGTAAATGCATAAAAAAAACATGTGCATTTTTTTTTTCTTTATGAACTAATTTGTAAGATCATGGCGGCATTTTTTTTTTTTTTTTTTTTTTTTTTTTAAGCCAAGTTCTCTTTATTTCCTTTGTAAGCACCCCCACCTCCACAAGAAAAAAATCTGATAGATTTGCAAGCTTAGTTTAAAAAAAAAAAAAAAAAATTCAGTGTATATTTTTTCTTAGAGTATTTATTTCAATTTCTTCCCCAATATGCCCTAATTAAGCTGACAACCTGAATCCGTTTTTGTATTCAGATATGGCATGATTATTTTTTTAATTCCATTTTAAACATCTTTGCCTTCCCCTACTGCCTTTTTACTCATCAGACTAGCATTATTCGACCTAATTCTTTTGTCTCCACCCCGCTCCAACTGTTTAAGGCTTTTATAAATGGGGGGGGGAGGCTTGTGGCGATCGCCTTATTGAGGTCATAGCTATTATAATAGAAAAAATAAATAAAAATCTTATTTCCGCTCGCCAAAACTGCATAAGCCCCTTAAAAAACCGTGATGTAATAGCTTTTTAGTTTTTATTATTATTATTGGAACTAATTAAAATCCTGTTATTTATAGCCATTTTTTCAAATTAACTTATGTTAACTTTTTATTGACCGAATGCATTAAAAAAATGGTTTGGCACTCTAGTGATTGTTAAATTTTATTGTAGAAATGAGCTGATTAGAACCTCCACCCACACCCCGTCGGTTTCTTTTTCATGGTCAGCCATGCTTTCCTCATTTTAACCGAAAGGAGAATGCGAAAGGAGAGAGAGAGAGAGCGAGAAAGCCATTGAATGAAAATTAATAAAATAAATTGTTCAATCCTTTTTGGTTTTTCATTCGTTGCTGCGAAATCAATCCGATTTCTTCAGTGCAGTTGCACTTATTGATTTTACTCTTCTTTCTGTTGCCTAAATTTCAAAGGGAGGAAAAAGCTTTCGGTATTGATGGATTCCGTATTAGACATTTTTAGTTCACTTTATCTTTAACTGGCTTATTTCAAAAGCATTTTTCTATTACTTAAAAATTAAGTTCGGATATTTTTCTTGATGTTCCTTTTTTTTTTTTTTTTTTTTTTCTGTGAAAGGTGACTGTCATCGGTTTGTCAAATATAAAAAAAAATTATAAATTTCTACTGTTGAGTTTTTGGAATACTTACACTGAATAAAATATTGTTTAAAACTTTATTTTAACTAGTTAATCAGTTTAAAAGTCTTTACTTAAAATGGTATATTTGACTGAGAGGAAAAATCTAATTTTCAGAATGTTTGTATCTTTAAATTATCTTTTTTTTTTTTTTTTTTTTTTTTTTTTTTTTTTTTTTTTTCCCTATTCCTCAGTCAAGGGGAAGGTACCGGGACAGCGATTCCGATGGAGAGAAGTTCTGCAAGCTCTTCATTGGAGGGCTCAACTACACAACAAATGAAGAGGCCATGAAAGAATATTTTGAGCCGTGGGGTGAGGTTGTTGATTGTGTCGTTATGAGAGACCCCAACACAAAAAAGTGAGTATTATAGAGAGGACTTTGAATTTTTATTTAATATAACTACATCTGAATTTGAAAAGTAGTAATATGCAAATTGTTTCAAAGAGATAACCTTAATTAGCAAATATTTAATAAACTTAGGTGTAATCGGAATTATTCAATATTAAAATGGCTTTGAATATCTGAATTTAAAATTGAAATAAAAATTATTTAAAGTTTAGGACATAATTTTTTTCCTATTTTTGTGTAGATCTAGAGGTTTTGGTTTCATCACATACAAAACTGAAGAACAAGTTGATGAAGCACAACGAAACAGGCCACACAATATTGACAACAAAGAGGTTGAAACTAAAAGGGCTATGCCAAGAAATGTAAGTACATTTGTAATAAGTGTATTAATGTAATATTAATAGGCATTTTTTATTGGATTTTGTAAAGAACTTGATCACTTTTTAGTTTGTAAATACTGAAATATTGGCATTTTCTTTTTCTCAAATTGTAAAGAAAAATGTTTTTTTTTTTTTTTTTTTTATTTGATCCAATGTATTGTTTTTGTGGTTATTGTATTTTGTAACTACACATTTGCTATTTAGTATTAGAAAACTGATCTATACTTGTTATTTTTGGGTGTTAAAGATCTTGTAATCTTTTTTCCAGGAAACAGATTCTCAAGCAACAGTAAAAAAATTATTTGTAGGGGGAATCAAAGAAGATACAGGTGAAGAAGAAATTCGAGAATATTTTAGCGCCAAAGGGAAAATTGAAACTATAGATATGATTACAGATAAAGGCACTGGGAAAAAGAGAGGATTCTGTTTTATTACTTTTGAGGATTATGATACAGTTGATAAATTAGTGCGTGAGTATTAATCCAACTGCTATGTATGTACATTTCATGTGGGTTTTCATTATAACTGTAAAATAGTTTTGTATGCTATAAAGACTATGAAAATTGAGTTGTTTTATGCATTCATACTACTATAATTTAAAAAATTCATTTCTCATTCTTAAAGTATAAATATTAATTTTGTTTTATTAAAGGGTTTTCTTGTAGATTAATTTAAAAATAGAATATCTTGATTAAGTAATGAATCTAGTTTATATACAGTTTGACTAGTGTATAGATCAGATTTTAATTTTTACACTGTTTTCCTTTTCTTTGCAGTAAAGAAATATCTTGATTTCAAAGGCAAGCGAGTAGAAGTAAAAAAGGCTTTATCAAGAGCTGAAATGAACCACAATAAACAAATAAACATGGGACCTATGGGTGGGCCAATGGGACCAGGACCAATGGGGCCTGGGCCAATGGGACCAGGACCCCACATGGGTGGACCTATGGGACCAGGACCACATATGGGACCACCAGGACCTCCAGGTATGTGCATCTCGTTCTTAAACAAATTCTTCTCTAGATTAAATATTAATACCAACTCTTGCCTTCTAAGATGGAAAGGACTGTGAAACGTTCACATTCTGCAGCTGCTGCTTTTGTTCATCTAATTCATCAAAGTAATTCCCCTCTGTAATCTTAGTCAAATATTTCAGAGCCTTATTCATCTCAAATAAAAACAAAAAAACACTGCAAAAAATAAATATTTGCAAATTTGATTTTAAAGAAAATTTGTATTAAAAATCTGGAACTTAAGTTTTTTAATAATGAAATCTTAGATGTTATTTTTAGCAACTTAGTCAAAATTTCCAAACAAAAAGTCCGTCAAATCCAAATTTGAGTAGGCTTTTAAGTCATTACCAATGAGGAAATGCAAAAACAAAATACTCTGCTGCTGACGTGAAGTAGATCCTTTTTATTGTCTTTCAAAGTTGAATTATCAAGCTTGGCAAATGCTGACTTGCTATGTTTTTGTTTGTAGGCAGAGGTGGTCGAGGAGGCATGGGTGGTGGCAGAGGTAAAGTGTCCTTTCTTTTTCTCTAATGTGCAGTTTTCTCACCTAGTTCTCCTCCCCCTTCCATCTCACAATAGGTCCTCTAAACTGTGGCCTACTTTTGTCTTGTAGACTTGCATCTTTCATCCATGCATTTGTGTCAGTCCAGACCATAAGTTGCTTTTAGATATTTTGCATGCATCAAGTAGCGACCATCTTTAGTGTGCAGTTCCTCAGAAAACTGTGGGGTTGGTGGCTTTTTGGTTTGCACGCTTTCTTGGCTTGATGGCATTTTCTTCAACTAAAATGCTTGCTGGTGATTTTAAGATAGAATATCGCTTTGTTCAATTGCAAATATAACTCTTGATGCTGTTATCAAATAGAGTACTTTCCTAAAATGCATTTAAAGTTTCTTGAATAACCTTGAAAGAAAGCTTAGTTTATGAATATTTAGCATTTAAATGCAGAAACCCTTTTTATCCTGTAAGGGGACAACCTAAAGTGGATCTACTTAATTCTTTTCTCCACATTGGAAGTTGGATTTGATTTGGAATATCAAAATAAAACTTAGCCAATTGTTGTGTGAGTGATTCTACTTGATCCTCACAGCAAATTTAAAACAAAAAAAGGCCAAAAAGCTCGGTATTAAGAAATTAAAGATTTTTACTTTTTTATATAAACTGTTCTTGTTGCATATGCATGGCTTTTGTTAAATTGTCTTTAGCTGTTTGCATAAAGTATTTGGAAATTTGAGTACCTATCCTCCTTTTTGTAGATGAAGCCCATTTGAAAATCAGTCTGTTTTAGAAACTGGAAAGTTTTATAATTGGTTTGATCTTTGATATTGAAGAAAACTAATTGTACATAATAGCTAAGCTCTTTAAAAATGTAATTTGATTGCATTTTGTTTTGTTAACCAGAAAACACTAACTTGTTTTGCTACTTTATGAATGATTAAAATTAAATTTTGTTCAGGGAATGGCTATTAAGAAAAAAATTATTGCTCAGTTTATTAGTTATTCAATCAGTAAAATGTTTTCATAATTTTTGCATTAATCCATAATTTTGCCAGTTTTCTCTAACAAGAACATGAAAAAGAAGACCTTGTCAAGACTTTACATTTGGGCCTGCTAAATAAAATACAATGAAAGTACAAATGTGCAGGACTTTAACTTTTATCTCCTCCCTCATTTCTTGTTACTGTCTTATGGAGGCCCTCTGACCCTTGGATTGTTTTGTGGGCCAAATGGAATTGGCTGGACCTGTTACTGAAGACTGATATTTTCAGTCTTGCAATTTGCTCGCTCTCTCTCTCTCTCTCTCTCTCTCTTGATGCTCTGTGCTATTCCCATTAAGACCCTGTCCATCACTCTTTGTCTGAAACTTGCTACTGTTCTGTGCAGGTGCAGGTGGCGACTGGCATAATTCACCTGGTAATTACGGCTACGGTGGTGGTGGTAACTTCAATGGAGGATATCACCAAGGTAAGCAGCAAACCTGTTACCTGAACCATTTTTCATTTAGAAATAACTCCATCCCTGTTTTATTTTATTTCCCTCTAAAAATATTTTGTTTGGGTTGGTCAAAATAGTTGATTCTTTTATTAAGCCGTTATGAAGGACTATAAGACAACATTTCCAAGTTTTAAAAGCGGTTTATAAATCAATTAGGGAAAATGTCTGGATTTGTTTGAATATTTAGTTTAGGTAAATGGATTTAGAAATGGTGTGCGTGTGCTTATAAAATAATGCTAATAAGTCATAGAAAAAATTTCACTTGGCAATTTTTTTATTCAATTTTTCTTTTTCCTTTATCTACTAACTGTATTAAAACAAACAATGGAGCAAGCTATGCTTATGTTTTTCTTTACATTTCAACTAAAACCTTCCTGATTAAAAAGAAAAAAAAAGTTTAATAGTTTATGCTGCCATTGTTTAAAGGTTGAATCTTTTAAGCATGCAAAACTAACACTGACAGGGTAGAACTTATGCCTCTGTTTGACACTGCTAGTTTGGCCTCTGCTAAATACCAACTTGCATAAAAAGCACTTTCTTCCTATTCCAGGCACCTATGAATAACAAACCAGCAATGTTACAATAAAAGCATTTACCATCCTTTTAAAACCCTCATTTTTCCCCCCCAAGAGCCTTGACTCTCTGGTGACTGTTGTTTAACCAAATACATTACTGCTCTGCACCGATTTGTCACTATTGATTTCTTTAGTAACATGAAAGCTTGTGTATCAAGTGTTGTGACAACTTAAGGGTAAACACTTGAATTCAATGATAGCTCTTGAAAAATAAATGTTTGATTATACTAACACAATTAATTGGAATAACTTATTTAATTACTGTTCAGTTGAATTAGAAATAGTGAGACACTAGATAAAACTGAAGTTGCTCATGGATTTTCTGTTTTAGCATTAAATGATATCAGTTGAGAATAATTGCTTAGTTTGTATATTAATTCAATTGTATAATTCTTTTTGATTGTATAACCACAATGAAAATTTTACTAGGAATGAACTTATGATAAATTAGTTTGCACACTTCCTTATACAAATGGTTAGCTTATGTTTAAATATTCTAATATCTGATTAAGCTGTTTTGAAACTTGCAATCCTGCTTGTTCAAGAGATTAGCTAATCCTGCAAGGTCCTGGTTCTTGAATCTCTTGCATCTTTAAAGCACTGTTCTCTGGGCTTTCTTTTTTTACCTCATACTTGTCAACAGGTTTCTGCTAATGATACTTTTTATTGACTTTAAGAAAGAAAAAAGACTGGCTTTTTGACTTTTCATTAAAAACGTATGACTCTGAGTATTAAAATTAGTGCAGTAGACAAGAACAGTTATAACTATTAAAATTCACTTAACCTTTTGTCCATACTTCAATAAACAATATGTCTAAGATTTGCGGTAATGTAGGCATTAAAATAGTTTACTCCATTAAAATATCGAAGCTCACATTTTGTCCTTTTTGACATAGGACCTGGAAATTGGGGAGGTCGTGGAGGTCACCCAGGATATGGTGGTTATGGACATCAAGGTAAATCTACGTTATATGCATTACAATCTCATGATGGTTTATTTAAAATCCAGCACTTGTTTTCCTTTTTAAATTTGTCACTGGCTGCAGAGATTTTTTTTCTAATTGTGCACTTTACAATTTTATGTACTTTGCCTAATGAATCGATAGTTTCTCATTTTGTGTGTGACTGATTTAATAAAAACATGGTTGCTTCAAGTTTCAGTAATCTTGTTTTGAATTGAATGATCATTGCATTTTACAATAAATCTCTCCTTTAACTTATCCAGGAGTTTGATTTGTGCTATAATTTGTGGTTTACTTTTACTGACTTAAGCTGCTCAGTTAGAATCTTATAATTATCAGTTTATTGTGTATGTGTGGTGCTTGACTTGTTTATATGGAACATTGCCAAGTAATGTTGAGTGTATCAGTAATAAAAGTGCAGCCACTCTAAAATTGATGTACGCTTATCAGTTTAACTTGTTTTGCATTATTTCATCCAGTGCTATGACTGAATAGTTAAACATGAATTAGTGAGACTTTGTGATGAACTTTTCATCCACTTGTAAAATTCAAGATACTGACATCAACTAACCATGAGATTTTTATTTCAAGAAATAAAATTTAGATTGAATTTTCTAATGTTTCTGTTCCATTTTGATTTATTTATTAAATACTTCCTATAAATTCAATTTTAAAATGTATTTAAATAAAGACTCTTTGTTGCTGGGCTTTTCTGTGCTTGGTTCAGAACAAGTGATATCTGCCTTAGATATCAATTTGAAAAAAATAAAATTTCTTGCCTTCTCTCTCCCACAAAAAGCTATGTTAAAAGGAGATAACTGTATAAGCAGCAGATTTGGAAAGAAAATCTTGGGCTGAATCATTTTATCAGCACACAATACTTGGTTTGATGTTTCATAATACACACAGTGAATGTAATAAAAATAACACTTGTCTTAAGCAGTTGTGAGAGTCTTGTGCAATTTGTTGCTATACAATTATAGTGTAGTTATTAATTTATTATATCTCTATATTTGGGACTTAGTGTGTGATAACTGTTGTAATTTTATTTTATTACAATCCAGACCTAAGCTTAATTTTAAACATTAGCTAGAATCCCCTCTTTGTTGCTGCTGCTTGCTGTTGAATCCATGAAATCACTTCTCTAATTGTTTTGTCTAAAATAAAATAAAATAAAAAAAGAAAAGTAAATTAGATCTGACAAATCCTTTTATGACTGTGTTGACCTTGACTGACAATGTTGGAAGGTCAGGGCTGCAGAAGACTTTGGCATATAATGGATTCAATATAACTCTACTCAATTTCTTATTGATTACTGGCAAATATTTACTCTTTGCTTGCTATTAAAGAAGAGAGTAATAGAATTGAATAAAAATTAGTTGTTGTAAATGGACGAAAAATTTGAATTATTTTTTTCTTCCTACTAGCTGATAAAAATAACCCTCATGATACATTGCACAAAATGCCTTTCTCAACTGTATGACTCTTGATAATTTTATAAGAATTTTAAAATATTGAAAGATTTAGCAAATGTATTACTACTACAACACCACCCTACCCCCCGCCAAATCATATACATATGTATGGGTTAGATGTTCTTAAGGTGCTTTCAGATTAAGTTCTTTTCCTATTAAGAAACAGCAGTGGGATAATACATTTAAGTATTAAATTTCAAACCTGCTTAGTGAATAAAACCGCTTTAAATCTGCATGTTTTTCTTATGACTATTTCTGACCTTGTATAATTGATTGTTTATTGTAAATAAGATTTTTATTGCAATTTTTTTTTTTTTTTGTTCCTTCCTCCCCTCTCTCTAAAGGCAACTATGGTGGTGGCCATGGTGGCTATGGCAATCAACATGGAGGCTATGGTGGTGGTGGCGGCGGCTATGGCCAGGGTGGCTGGAATCAAGGCTATGAAGGATTTGGAGGTAAATTCATTTGAAATTTGGTTTTTTTTTTTGTTTTTTTCTTTCTTCTAATAGTGTTTTGCTTTATATCAAAATATTTACAATGTAGAGTCAGTATATGGCCTCTTAAGTTTAGAATTCATTTCATTGTGCCAACCAGTGTTTCTCTTTAGTAGGTATATGCACGAGATCGCTAAAAAAAGCGTATAGTCTGATGAAAAAGACGTCAAACTTGACGAAAACAAAATTTTATCGCCAAAATGTCTGTTACGAGTAAGAGTAAAGAACAAAGTAATTTTTAATTATTTTTTTTTAAATTTTCTCTTTATTACAACATTCTAACTTTCGATTGAAAAACCTTGTTTCTCGTCATCACCGGAACTCTAGTAAATAACATGGCGAATTTTTTTTTGTGCATTTTTTCTTATGACACACATTAATTTTGAAAATCTTGAAAAAAATAGAAATAATTGTCAGATTTTAATGAAACTTTCAGAAACTATTCAGAAATGATGGAAATTATTATAAATATGTTATTTTTTTAAAAAGTCATTATAAAAATATATTTTTTATACATATATTACCACCCCATAAATGAATTAAAGAAAACTGTAAAAGTTTATGGACGAAGCAGGAAGTCATATTAATAAAAACACAAGGCTTTGAGGAAAGTAAATCAGGTTTTTCTTTTTTAAAATCCGAACTCGTAAACCAATCAGCTCTGAATTGTAAATACAAAACCCAATAAAACAAAAATACTATTTAATTTTAAATGCTTTTAGTTACTTTTATTTGTTTTTATCAATATGCATAATATTGTCTGAAGGCAAAAACTTTTTCAATGAAAAATGAATTTTAAATAAATTAATTGTTATTTAATAAATTATTTTATTATTTTTACATAAAGTTAGTAAAAGTTGTTAAATATTCTAAAATTAGCGGTACTGACGAATCCTGTATATAATGCTATTTTTTAGGTACCTATATCTGTACAGATTATAAATAGTACAAGGTTTTTACAATCAACGAAACAGCAATGAGAATAATCTTACTGTCCTTTAACCTATGTGTAGAAAAAAAAATCTTAAATCAAATGTACGGAGGCCCGAAGAAACATGATCCAATAAAAAACATCACATGACTTGATTTGTACGGCACTGTTAACGGCCTTTTATATTTATATAAAATTACTTTAAAAATTTATAATAATTTCCAGCATTCCTGAAAGTTTCTTTAAAATCTGACAATTATTTCTATTTTTGCAAGATTTTCAAAATTAATGTGTCATAAGAAAAAAATGAACAAAAAATTTGCCATGTTATTTACTAAAGTTCCGGTGATGACGAGAAACGAGATTTTTCAATCAAAAGTTAAAACGTTCTAATAAAGACAGAAAATTTTTTAAAAATAATGAAAAATTACTTTGTTCTCCCCACTTAATAGTAACATAAACATTTTGGTAATAAAATTCTGATTTCGTCAAGTTTAAGGCTGTTTTTTCATGGTATGACTACTTAAAAATAACGAGGTAAATAAGTTGTTAACGTAAAATAAATTGTCACTTACGACCTTCCGTACTATAAATTTCCAGACGTAATATGTCAGTGCGTGATGAAAACACGCACTTGTCATTTGTCAATCAACACCGCAGTCCAGATCTGCATTCTCCCATTTGAAAAAAACATGTTTTCATCACAGAAAATAAGCAATCTTTGTTTCAAAATATACTAAATAAACTTTCTAATTTCTAATCTTTTTTAAATTAGTTAAAAAAAAATAATTGATTTTTTAAATAAATTTTAAACGGCAACATTCACGTTTGTAAACAAACGTCAAAAACAACGATTTTCCGATTCAAAAAATTGAAGATTTTTAACGAAAATTTTGGATGTGCTAGAAATTATTAAAAATTTTAAAAATATTCAAAAATACTTTGATCATTCCTCTTGATAATAACATTAACATTTATACGATAAAAAATTATTTTAATCAAATTTAAGGCCTTTTTTAATCATGGTATGCTATTTTTTTATCGATCTCATGCACATACCTACTCTTTAGGCATGCAGATAGGAATCTTTCAATATTGCAAACCTCTAAATAAAAATTATCAGTATACTGCAATAAAAGTTGAAATAATGGTTCCTAAAAAAAAAATTTTTTTTTTTTTTTTTTTCCTGATTCAGGTGGCTATGGTGGTGGAAGTGGCTATGGTGGTGGCTATAGACGATGAGTCTGCAGTCGGCTTATCAATCAGGTAATTTTTTTTTTTTTTTTTTTTTTTTTTTTTCACACACCCACTCAAACTAAATAAAATCTGTGTAGCTGACAATTTGCCTTGTGCACAAAATTCTCTCAAAATTGTAATGGATTTTAAAGAATATACCTTCATTAAAATTGAAGGCAAATGAATTTTTGTATACATTTTTTAAAATTGTTTTCCTATATTTTCATTTCAAGTGTCCAATGTACAGTTGAATTCTTTTATCAAAAATAATTTTTGAAAAGAACAAAATTATTTTTAAGTGTCAGTTATTCACTAGCATTGTGTTCCTGACACGTTCATAAATCTTTCACCAATTGCATTTCCCCTCCCCTCAATCAAATATACATTTTTGATTGGTATTTGTATGGCAGTCTGTAAAGCATACTCATTGTCTGATAGTATTAGCTACTGTTGCATTTCTAATTTGTAAGTACTATTAAGTTGTTTGTGCTAATTTAAATATTAGCATCATGGAGTTCGTAATTATATAATTTGTATGGCGCAGTAAATTTTGTTGGCTTGGTTTCAGTAATGATTTGGATAAATTTCATTTTTGTAATGGAACTGAAAATGAAAGATGATTTACTGATATAATTTTAACAAGGATTAACTTTATATATGGTTTCTCCAAAAACAAAATGACTACTTTGGCAGATGCAAACAGTGACTTATTTTAAAACTGTTGGGTGAAGCTTATATTATTTGAAAGGTTCTAGCTATCATCTTCTAGTGGCCAATTCCTAATCAGAAATTCTATGATCACTGGAATGTGGGTGCCCTATTTTTCATAGATTGTGTGTGTGTGTGTGTGTGTGTATATATATATATATATATAAGATTTGGGGGGTTTTGCTTCCATAACTGGTAATATTTAAAACTTAAAAAAAAAAAAAAAAAAAAAGTAAATAT